CTCACTGAGGACTGCAGAGCAACAGAGAAAGAGGTGGGTCTTTGATGTCATCTCTGTGCCTCTGGCCACTGACTTCATTCAGATGCCCATCTTACCCCAGACTACCAGTTCATTCATTCCACATGCCTTCACTGAGTACTATGCGCTGGGCACTGATTTAAGTGCTGGGGAGATGCCAGTGGATACAGACAAGTCCCTACCTCATGGGGTTTAACTTTCTGTGTGGGAAAGAAGAGGCGACAGAGCATAACAATAACAATCAAGTAAATAACACGATACAAAATTTTAAGTGCCAGGAGAATAAAATGAAGCAGTTTGCTAGGATGATTTCTCCAACACCGGATTCCTCTCGGTATTATATGTTCTTGCAGCAATCAATCAAAAGATCCCTTTTGGAAGTTGACAGTCATGTGGATGACAATGTAAAAGAATGCATAATTTCACACCGGGTCTGGGATTCCGCTGCAACGTTTGTTGATTTGGTTTTCCTCATTCAATTGAACCAACTATGAATCATCGGAGAAAAAGAGCCGTCACTGACAGAAATATGCACATTTCTGGGGGTCATGGCTGAAACAGGCATTGGTCTTTGGACAAGTGTGAAAAGCAAATGAATGAAGCTCATGACTGCTTATTGCTGCCACAGAAGTATCAGGTACAAACAAAGCAACAACAGGACACAGCACATACAAATCTACTAGGGACGAAGTGAATCTGGACTGCCATTGGCTGGCTATGAACGTGAACCTGTGCGTGATGGGCCACGTCTTTTACAGATGCCTCTAAAGTCTGGGACAAATCTCACCAGTGTCAAGCATCCTTTTGTTGTTATTGTTGTTAGTGTTTTGTTTTATGCTTTTCTGGATATGAAGTCTAGGTTAGGTAAATCTATAGAGACAACTGGATTAGTGCTTTCTGAGGGGTATGGCAGGAGAGGTTGGGGGGAAATAGGGAGGTAATAAGAATGAATTCAATCATATCAAGAAGAATTGTACAATCTGGAACCCGGGTGGACTGGCAGAGTTATCAGCCATGAACTGAGTAAAGAAGCCCATGCTAACATGTCCAGAGTATGCATGCTATCAACGTTTGCCGACTTGCACCGAGAACGTCCATTCCCTCATGACATGGACTGACGGTGACGGTCTGGGGTTGGTATGGATGGGCTAAAGCTCTGACTGGTAATGTCAGAAAGACCGACCGCGAGCCAAGTTGTTGTACTGTTGTTGGCTGCTGCTCAGGCTCCCACAACTCACGGTGCCCCCATGCCTAATAGAGCAAACCACTGCCTGGTCCTGTGACACCCCTGTGAGTGGGTGGGGTCTGATCACGGGGGTTTTCCAAAGGAGATCACCATGGGTCTCTCTTCCTAGCCCATCTTAGGCTGGAGCAGATCATCATTGCAACACCCAAGGACCCCATTAGCAGACAGGTAATGCCTGCATGTGAGGTACATTGCTGGGAATTGAACCTGTGTCTGCCACATAATTCTACCACAGAAATATACAGAAGCCAAATCACCTCACTGCCTGTGTAATAGGGAAATTCTCACCCTCCAGAATATATATGTGATGCCTTAAAACAAGTACTTAATGGAGGCAATTCAGTGGCTAATCATGCTCAGAGTAGGCAAATGATTTATTTTGCTGTGTTGCAGCAGGAATTTATTATTTTAAAAAATATCTCTGTAGTTAGCTATAACAACCAAAACATTTTTTCCATAAGCTCCGCTTACATGTATCAATATACTTTCAAGGCTAAACTTCCATGTTGACATCCTTTGAACCTTCTAAGGTGCTTCAGCCAGCGCTGTCGTGATGACCTAGTTATAATGATGCTTCGAATCCTGTGGCTTCGTCTGCTTGTGCTACAAACACTCATTGCTGTTTTCTTCACTGCTGAGTTTTAGAGACATCGGTTGCAACCTGCTCAGCATACCAACGTTCCTCACACTTTCTCCCTGGGTCTCCCACATTCCTCTGCCTTCTTCCTTGCCCTTCTGGCTCTGGGACTTTGTTTTGGCACAAATGCTGCCCGTTTGGCCGCATGTGGTTGATACTGAGGAATGACTACGTTCTTCCCTCTGTCATTCCCACCTTGTAGACCTGTCTGTGGTTTGAGTAAAACTTAGTCTCTAGGGCTGGGTTCACTTCCAGACTGCAAGGTGTTTCAGTCTCAGGGTTCCATTATTTCTAGCAAGTAAGTCTGATCGTAGTTTCTAGTAAGTAGGGTCTGTTCCATGATTTTGAATTTTGGTCTACATTTTCTCTTTCCCTCTCAATCCAAACTTTCTCCTAGGATCCTGATCGAGCAGTAGGAAGTGGCAACAGGAGCCATCTATTTCTTGTCTCAGGGTAGTGGAGGCTGTGGACGGCATGGCCCATGAGTAATTTGGATTCATTGTTCCTTGACGCTTTGATTTTCCTTATCTTTCTTTGATCTGGATTTGGGGAGACTAGTGGCTGCATCTTAGATGGCCCGTCACAAGCTTGTAAGATCCAAATTACTATTCATCAAAGTAAGCGGAGGAACATCGAGAACTCTGTTATACCAGGGCAATGGCATTCTGGGCCTTTCCTCTGGGTTGTGGGAAAAGATGAGCAATGAATATAGTGAACTAGCGGTTCAAATGGAAGTTCATTATCTCTTGATTAGAAAAATGTTCGTCCAGCTAAGTTATAAGAACTTTATTTTTCCAAAGAAAACTTCCCTTGTGAGAAATTATGCATAGTCAGGTCTGGCTCATCTAAAGCACTTATTTATTAGTATAAGATGTTATGTATTGAATTGTGCCCCCCGCCCCTTCCTGCAAATCCAAAACACGTACATGATTCTGAGTGGAAATCCTTTCTCAGCGTCTTACCCTCATGGAGAAGGTGGTTAAACGAAGCAGTGGCCCTTGACACATGCTAGCACTCACTGTGTGTCGTGCCCTGTTCAAAGCGTGTGCATTAAATTACGTAGCCCTCACCACGACTCCCAGCTGCAGGCACCGCCCATATCTTTATTTTACAGCTGGGGGACATAGGTACAAAAGGGTGAGCAACTTTATCAAGTTGCTCTATTTAATTAATTAATTAATTAATTAAAAGATCATTTTATTGGGAGCTCTTACAACACTTATAGCAATCCATATGTCAATTGTATCAAGCATATTTGTACATATGTTGCCATCATTCTTTTCTGGACATTTAGTTTCTATTGAGCCCTTGGTATCAGCCCCTCTTTTTTCCCTCCCCACCTCTCACCCTTGTGGCCCCTCGATAAATTTTAAAGTATTATTTTCATCTTACAATGACTGCTGTCTCCTTTTCCCCACGGTTTCTGTTGTTTGTCCCCCTGGAGGGTGGAGTGTATGTGGTTGATCATTGCGATTGTGTTGATCATTGGGATTGGTTCCCCCTTCCTCCTCTCCTCTTCCCACCTTACCCTTACCCTCCTGGTATCACTACTCCCATTCCTGTTCCTGGATTCCATGTGTCATGAGCTCTTATCTCTTATCTGTACCTGGGCACATGATCCACTCTAGCCCACAGTGAAAGGCAGGACTGGGGTCATGATAGTGGGGGGGTGAGGAAGCCTCAAGGAACCAGAGGAATATTGTGTGTTACATCAGTGCTTTACTGCGCCCTGGTTGACTCATTTTTAAAGAACTAAATTTGGTTTTATTGATGCTTGAGTTCTGTTTCATCTGTCCTCTATTTCTGCTGCTCCAATCTTTATTAGCTCCTTCCTCCTGCTTACTCTGGGTTACATGGCTATTATTTTCTAGTTTCTTAAGGTAGAAGGTTAGGTTATTGATGGAGAGATTTCTTCTTTTAATATAGGTATTTACAGCAATGTTTTCCCCTAAGCATTGATGTATTTAGGTTTGGTGTATTTTTGTTTTCATTTATGTCAAAGAATTTTCTAATTTCCTTTGTGGTTTTTTTCTTTGATCTATTAGTTATTTAGCGTATGGTGTTTGATTTTCATATATTATTGTTTTTCCTAAATTTCCTTCTGTTAGTACCTTCTCATTTCATCCCATTCTGATCAGAGAACATGCTTTGCATGTTTTCTGCTCTTTTACATATCTTGAGCCTGGTTTTATGGCCTAAAATGTGGTTTATCTTAGAGCGTTCCATCCTCAGGTGGGGAAAATGTGTCTCCTGTGAATGTTTGGTGAAGTGTTCTGTAAGTTATCTGTTAGGGCCAGCTAGTTTAGACAGCACTTCAAGACTTCTGTTTCCATGGTGATGTTCTGTTTAGTTGCATGCACTTTTGAAAGTTGGGTTTTAAAGGCTCTCTCTATTATTGGTGAATTGTAGAGTTCTCCCTTCAACTCTGTTAGTTTTTTTGTTTCATGTATTGTGTAGCTCTGTTAAGTGCTTATGTATTTATAATGGACTCTTTTTTGTCTATATTGTATACGAACAGAAGGAAATTGAGGAAAGTAAAAAATATGTGACAATCAAATTATTTTATGTGTGCTATATATGTAGAATCCATCACTTGTCTGTCAGTTTGTTTCCCTGTGGTGGCTTCCGTGTGTGTGATGCTGGCAGCTATGTCACTGGTAGTTAAGATACCAGCAGGTCACCCAAAGTGAACAGGTTTCAGCAGAGCTTGCAGACTAAGAACAGGATATGAAGAAAGAATACACTGTCCACTTCAGAGGGATGAGCCACTGACCGCTTTATGAAGAGCAGCCATACACTGTCAGACACTGAACGCCCGTGAACAGCAGCAGATCACTGTCAGGTCTAGTGCTAGAAGAGGAGCCTTCCGCTCAGAAGGAACTCAAAGTATGACCGAAGGTGAACTTTCTCAGAGTAGACTGGACCATCATCACATGGATGGAGGAAAGCCTTCAAGACATTCATTTGCTGATGACTCAAAATGAGAAGAGGCAGTTGTAAGCATCTATTAACAACTGGAGCTTGGAACATATGAAGTATGAAACTAGGAACATTAGAAGTTGTCAAGAATGAACTGGAACATAAGAGATCTATATCCTCACTGCCCCTAGAGGCGTTGCAGCGCCTCCACCATGCCACAGCTCTGTCCTTAGATGACAGAGAGAAGAGGGGCTATCTCTAGGTCCAGGGGTCTGGCGTGAACCACCTGACTGACTGCGAGCCCCACAGTCCTGTCGCACCTGTGTGACCTGGGCCACCCGGGGAGTGGGAAGGACGCAGGTGGGGTAGGGTGGGGGGTTCCCTCTAGGTCATTTTGCAAAAGGACATGATCCTGGCACCTGGATGACAGGTGATGGTGCCATTGTCTTTGGGGGGCCCACGTCTAAGGGCTGGTAAAAAAGATCTATATCCTAGCCATTAGTGAGCTGAAATGGACTGGTATTCGCCATTTTGAATCAGAAAATCATATGGTCTACTATGTGGAGAATGACAAATTCAAGAGGGATGGTTTTGCATTCTTCACCAAAAAGGACATTTCCACATCTATCTTGAAGTATAATACTCTCTTTCATAGGACAATATCTGTCCACATACAAGGAAATCCAGTCAATGTAACAATTGTTTAAATTTGTGCGCTAAGCACTATAGTGCTAGTGATGCAGATACTGAAGAATTTTAACAGCATCTTCAGTCTGAAATGAATCAAGCATGCAATCCAGATGTATTGACAATCATTGGCAATTGGAATGCAAAAGTTGGAGACACCAAGGAACGAACAGCAGTTGGAAAGTACGTCCTTGGTGATAGAAATGAAGCTGGAGATCACATGATAGAATTTTGTGAGACCAATGACTTCTTCATCACAAATATGTTTTTCTAACAACACAGAGGGCAGCTATACACGTGGACCTCTTCAGAGGAAATACACAGCAGTAAAGTTGACTATATCTGTGGGAAGATATGATGAGGAAGCTCAGTCTCAGCAGCTAACATCAGGCTAGGAGCTGACTGTGGAGTAGACTATTAACTGCTCACATATAAGTTCAGGTTTACGGTGAAGACAATTAAAGCCAGTCCATGAGAGCCAAAGCATGACTTTGAGCAAATCCCATCTGAATTTAGAAACACCACAAAGAAGACCCGATGAGCTGTGGGAGACGTCAAGAACATCCCTCATGGGAGAAAATGAAGGGGAGGAAGAGGGAGCGGAGCACATCCTGGCCCACCAGGCCTGGAGGACAATATCCCCGCTCTGAACAGCCAATGCACAGAGTGGACCATATGGCTGATCCCACTATGAGATAAGACGTCCCTCACTGACCCATGGCCCTACGGGCAACAACACTGGCGCCGTCTGATCCCTAGACACCAAGGCAAAACACTAAAGGCCTGCGGCAGAACAACAGGGGGAACAGAGCAGGGAGCTCCCAATGGAGTGCAAAGGATAGACTTTGGGGCCAGAGTGTAGTACCCCATTGGACTCAACTGGAGGACCCGCCTAGAGGTCAAAAATCAGACCTTGATTGATTAACAGGTTTTCCTTTTTAAATTTTTTTCTTTTTTCTTTTAAAATTAATTTATTCTTTTATGGGTCATTGGTTTTCTTTGTTGTTGTCATTGTTGTGCTCTCTTGTCGCTTTGTCTTGCTATGCTTTGTTTTTTGGTGCATATTATTATCTCTGCAGGTCTATCTAGATAAGATAGGCTGGATGAACAATCTGGATGAGAAAGTAATGGGACCAATGGTTCTGGGGGGACATGGGAGAGGGAGAGGCGGGGGTAAGGACGTGGTGTTGACCAACCCAGGGACAAGGAGCAAGAAGTGATCCAAAATCAGTGGCAAGGAGGGTGTGAGAGGCCTGGTAGGGATTCTGCAAGGGCAATGTAACTGAGAGAAATCACTGAAACCCAAATGAGGGCTGAGCATGATAGTGGGACAAGAGGAAAGTAAAAGGAAATGGAGGAAAGAACTAGGAGGCAAAGGGCATTTATATATGGTCTAAATACAGGCATGTACATATATAAGTATATTTAAACAGGGTGGTGGGGAAATAGGTCTATGTGCATATATTTATAGGTTTAATATAAAGGCAGCAGATGGACATTGGACCTCCACTCAAGTACTTACTCAATTCAAGAACACTTTGTTCTATTAAATTGGCATTCCATGATGAACACCTTCCAGACACGATCACTGAAAACAAATGTGTGCATAAGCATACATGGTGAAA